ATCTCGCTTAGGACACATGCCACTAAAACCTGGAATAGAAAACCTAATTTTAGGAAATAATCTTTCATTTCAGAAAAGAACTTTTTAAAAGAGAAATGTCTTTTTTCTTAAAAGAAGACAGACAGCACATAGTGTAACTAAGGTAGTTTGAATTCAGTCATGCTTTCATTTTTCAGACAAGAATGTTTTTATTAAGAAATACTCATAAATTATAGAAGGTATCTGTTCAGTTTTTCTCTGAAAGTATAGAAGGCTAAAATCCTATGTCAAAAGGAAGTATCTACTTTCTACAGACCATGGTAGAAGTCAAATATTGTTAAAGTTAATGTGACTGAAGGGCTTTGTTGAAGAACCAGTATTAAATGAGAAGTTTAGGTGATATGCTCATTTGGAACCAAAATGATGCATTGACCTCCACATTATGAAGTTCTATTAAAGCTGTACATGCAAGAGAGCACATAATGTGGCCCTGAAGCCTACTAAGGACCTGTATATCATAAGTATATAAGGACTACTTTAGTAATGTAGACACTAACAATGTCAACCCTCTAGTTTTGAATCTCCTCCCGTGATTCCTACAGAGTAGACCTTAAAATAAATTGGTCACAGCTAAAACATTAATTCTGGTGCATCAGGAGATACGCAATGTGAAATCATTTACTCATATCTTAAGTAACATTCTAATCATCAGATGTGGAGATGCAGATGCTAAACAACTTGTTGACTAAGGGAAAAGAAACTGAGCTTTCGTGCCAGTAAGCAGATGTGCTCAATAGACTGGCTTATAAGCGCTGATTTAGAAACAGCTGTTAATGCTGCCATCATCTTTAAAATAGTTCATTTCCCTCCACTTCCTTTGTTTTCCATACATACATATGCTTGCTCTATACCGTTAAGTTGTGCTAGTCAGAGGGTGGAGCAGAGGGAGTGCATTTTAATAAATAATAGGCAATCAAGACCTGATTCTGGGAGGTGGTGAACACTCAGCTCCTACTGGAGCTAACTTAGACTTCAAAAAACAGTGTAAAAAGGTTTAAAAACCTTACAGTATCAAGTTTATCATAGTAGATCTTTAAACTACCTTAAAAGAATATAATCTCACGAAAGTTGTAAATGGCACAAGCTAGTTCTTTCACTGGAAAAAGGTTTGAGAGTTTTTCAGGTTCACTTCAGTAAGGACTTTTTATCTCTATTTTTATTTTTATTGTTTCTTTATTTTTCTTTGAGTAATTATCTCCTTTCTCTCACTTGTGATTTTTCTCTCTTCCTCTCTTTCTTTCTCTTCTTTCTTTTTCATCTCTCCTTTTTCTTTCTCAGGATGTTTTGTTTTGATGAATGTTTTGTGCAACACCTGTAAGTTTCTAATCACTTGTGCATTTGAAAAACACAGTTTTCCATGAATCCAGATAAACTGGCACTCTGAAATACTTCACACAAACTTTGCCTCACTTCCTTTTCATTACTAAAATGTAGATGGATCACATATCAGTAACAACTATACCCTCCATAATTGACTCTTCAACTGCAAAGGAAGTTTAGAATTCCAGTATCTGAATTTGATCTCTAGAGGAAATAACAAGCGAAGGACCTGTCTCATATTATTAGCACATGAGCATGAAAGTCTTCATCTAGAGTCCATTGAACTCGATGGAAAAACTCACACTGACATTAGTGTACTTTGGATCAGGTCAAAAGTGGATCTCAGAACTTTGTAATGGAGGTCATAAAGAGATATAAAAAATACCTAACATATTCCCTTATATAAGAGTCCTGCTGTACATTAACACAGCAAATGACATCAAAATAAACTCATAATATTTTCAATTATAAACTTCACTATAATTGATTTCTAGCTTTTGAAAATAGTCTTTGACATACCAAATGAAGTAATTTCTTATTTGATATTCTCTAAGTAAATTAGATGCAGATTATTTGAAGTCATTAATAAAAAAAACTAAAGCTTTTTTAAACTTTTTTTTTTTTAAAATGTTACTGTTTTCTTTTTATGGGAAGCCTGCCAGGCTATATGCCAGTCAGTAGAATATATTCTTCTATGGGAGAGCCAGTTACTCTCTTCCCCCTACACTCAAGAGAGTGCATGCAAAGGTAGCTGGAGTCCTTTCAGCCCTACTTTCCTTAAAAGTGCCATGTTTCCCGGACAGCGAGTCGCATGCAGACATAGTGTTGCATTCTGGATCCTCTGAGGCATTTAGCAATGTATCTGTCTTGCATTTATTCTTGAAAAGGATTATCCTTTAATTGATTTGTATCAACTAATATAGATGCTCCCTGGCGGAGGCATGTTGGGGCGCGGTCAGGTGAGCTAGTCTGAGGGTAGGAGATCTGAATAAAGTGGTAATCCCCAGACTGTCCTTGGATACTCGTTACCTGGAAGCTGGTGCCAATCAGTTCTCCTGGGTTTAATACTCAAAGATAGAGACTGCTCTCAGATGGTACAAAAAAGAATAATTCATTAAACTGGAGTAGAAAACAGTCAAAAAATGTCAGGCCAGCAAATGCAAGAGTTTAGCTCTTTCTATGAGAGGAGAACAGAAACGAGCACCTGCGTCAGGAGCCAGCAGCAATCATCCTGCTCATGCCTGTTTCTGACAATGACTGTAGCAGTATTAGCTTCAGTTTCTCAGGTGTGCAAAAATGAAATGGATGCATCTGGAAGGTGGTTTGCCTGGATTTCTCTTGTTCCAATAAGTTAAAGTAGGTTGAATCCAGGCTGTGCACTGAATTTTTTGCTTCGAATGAATCACTGTAATTTTTCTTCAAACCACTTTTTGTATACATTACTATTTTGTTGTAGGCTTTCAATGCCGTGACTTATTCCGTGAATGTTCAAGACATAAACATATCTGGAGAATTGCTTAGATCTTTTAAACATCACTTCAATCCTCTCATTTCTTCTTACTGAATAAAAGTATCTCAGCCCTTTTTTCAGAAGCAGAGTGATAATATTCTGCGGTACTGGGTTGTGTCCAAAGTGTATTATTTTTGATGTTTAGATTATGACTGCAGTTGCATCTACTGCACTGTCTGGCACCAGTAGAGTAGTTTCTTTTGCAAGAGAAACTTCATTATCTTAAAAACCAAAAATAAACAAAATGATGTCTCAACCTCCCCCAGAAAGCTACTAACTTTGTGCTAGTGCTGTACCCTTTTGAAGACACTGTTTCCATGGTCACCTCTGATACATGACCTGAGTATGATAATTCCCAGCATCACAGCAGCCAGTAATAAATACCTTCCCCTTTACACTCATTTCGCTTTACAAGCCAGATTCTTTGGCTCTGATGAATTGACTAAAGGAAAGGATGTGCTGTGCTTTGAGGCTCTTACTAACCTGGAATCATTTTGCTCGATTCCCAAGTGATTGGCTTTAACAGTTCACATTGGCTTTAACAGGAATATAGACTATAGAAAAATAAATATGCCTCTCTTCCTTCCCACATACATACGTACAGATAGTGACATTAACGATCAGTTCAGTTGTAGTAAAATTTTAATGTAAAATTCAAAGTGATAGTAAAGGTTAAACACTGCAGTGTTTCCTGGATGTATAAGACAGATTCAGCAAAACAGCATTTTTGTGGCTCTATTACTCATGTTGTACAATATGTCCTGCTGTGCCTGTTCCTTGCTGTTTCTTTTAAAACTCTGAAACGCATTCTGCTAAACGCAGCAGAGGATACACCAACATTGCAAGCTTTCTTGCTTTCTTTTCAAGTGAAAAGTTGCAGACGTTTATTTTTCGGTGGAACCTTCATGTGAAGAGCTGCACAGACACACACACACAAAATTTTTTAGCAACATTAACTCTAAATGGATCAATCCTCTATTCATACTGAGGTTTTTTTAGTGACAATATTTTAAGTTGATTTGAAATCAGCCTTTAATCTGGTCTAGTATATTTGACAGATGCTATGCACATCTTTTTTTTTTTCTTTTATTTTGGCTATTGAAAAAAAAGTCCTTGTGGTTTGCAGTGCTGGTACTTTAGAACTGTGCAAATAATTTAGGTTTACTTCCCTCCCCCCCTATATTTCTACACAGAGAAGGGGAGGAGGGGAAATGAGTTTCAGCTGGAGTAAAAACTTGGGGTTTAACGTGACTTAAATACAGATACATTTTTGATCTTTCATGCTATGAATTTATTTTCCATTCTCATCTGAAATTATTTGCTGATTTTGACTCAAGTTTATAAATGCTTTTACCTCTGGCTTTTGGAAAAATTTGACCAGGGTCTATGGCTAAATGTAGTAGAATCGAGGATCAGTCAACTAGGATCATTTAAATACATTTGGGAAATAGACAGAGAAGTTGTAAGTTTTGACAGTAAGAAATGCTCTTTTAGGTGCTTCAGCAAATAAATAAAAAAAAAAAGCTGTTAAGGTGCTCCACCTGAAACTCACCATCAATTTACAGAAACAAACAGGCAGAAAGCAAGGCAAACTTTTCAGCACAAGTTGCTTTCCAGAGTAACTACCCTCCTGGGAAGGATAGTTAAAAGCACTCTAAGCAGGAGGGGCAGCAGTATGGGTCCCTGCCCCCAGACAGGGTTCTCTGTTGTGCTAAAGACAGATTCTTCTGCGGGTCACTTGATGGGAACCTTTTTCCCTCTGTTTCTCTGCCTGTGGAATGGCATTAATACATTTTCCGAGAGCATGTGAACTTTTTAATGTTTCCTGAAGTGCTCTGAGATCTTCCCGCGGAGGGAACTGCCACCGCTAGCCCTGCTGCCTGCTTGCAGTAAGCCCGGTCCCTCCTCTGCAGTCGTTATCCTCACATCCCCAGGGCTCACGTCCTGTCCAAAACTGGATTGCCTGCTCCTCAGGGAAAGCTCGCTAAGCTTTTTACCATACAGACAGAAAGGTAGTGTGTTGCACATGAAAAAAAAGAAAAAACTCAAGGTCTGTGCTAAAGCTAGAAGGATCCTTATTACCTTCAATGATCCCATCTTTATTTTCTTGTTTTGTCTTTCTTCTGCGAAGGTAAAAGTTTGGTTCCAGAACAGACGGATGAAGTGGAAGCGGGTAAAAGGGGGCCAGCAAGGGGCAGCGGCCCGGGAGAAGGAACTGGTGAATGTGAAAAAGGGCACGCTGCTCCCCTCCGAGCTCTCTGGCATCAGCGCAGCTGGTCTCCAGCACACGGGGGACTCACTAGCGAACGACGACAGCCACGACAGCGATCACAGCTCTGAGCACGCACACTTATGATACACAGAGAGTGTCCCAGCTCCGTTCTCAGGAAAGATGCTTTGCTGGCAAGCCTTACACAGGCATCGTTTACGTATGCAAGTGACTCTGGCAGTGATTTTTAAAGTTGTTATGGAAAATTCAGGCTTATTGTGTCGGCTTTTCTTGGTTTTTAGATGGTTTACAGTAAGTGCCATATCTTAAAGGTGCCTCAAGAGTGGAGAAGTGGAAGACGAACTTACTTTGAACATTCCAGATTTGTTTGTCATGTTTATGACAGCGGGCAGGTATTTTTGCTTTAGCTTGCACTGAAAATTACATTGCTCTCAACAGATGTTATATTCTGAAAACCACAGTGCCACAAAATCACTATCTAGTGGATAAGAAATGTATTTTAACTCTGTATATATTTACCTTACAGCATTTTCCTGTCTTCACTAATTTTAGCAATGCATTCATATTAGCTGATGGCAATAGTCACTCATGACAATAAAAGGCTTTTTGTCTCTTTATTTTTGTTTTGTTTTTCCAGACATACAATACATGCAGATACTTTTGTTCAAGTAGAGAACAATACGATAGTGTCTGCTAGGACACATCCTTGTATGACAGACAAAACAAACCTTATGTTGCATTTACTATCAACTGCTGCTAATAGGGTATTATTAAACTTACCTAGCTCCTCAATTCTTCTTATCTTGTAACTGCAAAAAATGATTTTTAGGATCATAAGGATAGTCCAGTAACCTGCCAAAAAATGTCATGTTCCCCTCATGCTGGGTGGAAACTTCCCAAAGGATTATTCGTTTCTACTTTGTCATAATTGCATACATTGATAAATACTGACACTGCAGAAATGTTGACGCTTCATCTTCAGTTTAAAAAAAACAGCAGACAAACTGAAAGTTATCAACTGCTTATGTTGGTAGAAATCAAAATATGAAGGTAACGCAGTATTGTGTCCCATATGTAAAATCAAGACACGTTTTCTGTTATAAGCTTTTGTGTACATACAGGCAAATACCAAACCCCAAAATTAAATGCAAACCATTGATTGTACTTCGTAAAGAAATATGTTTAATAAATAATCCTTTTTAAATAGTTCTGGTCTCTCTACAATGATTTCATAGGAAACTTAAAATGTTTTTCGTAAAAGTCCTAATCAGCAATGCTTTTTTTGTATCTTTCAGCACTTAGTCTATCTGTGGACAACACAAAGTTATATTTTCAAATTCAGGCTTTTAATGATGGATAAACCTTCTACCTTGGTCCATTTGGGAAAGTCTTTCCTTTAGCAGGAAAAAGGCATCTAGCAGCTAATGATGTCTTCAGCCAAAAACAACAACAGTCTGTTCGACCATTTTTCCAGATATAGAGCAAATATAAAGGGTTATTTTGTTGGACCTTGTTGAAATGGATGAAAGGGAATAAATATTAGGAAGGAATGCGTACTTATATTATCATGCCTTTGTTCAATAAGCTGTTCAGGAGGAAAAAAAGAAAATATCTCCAAAAACTTCAGTGATGAATTGGGCTGGGTAGTGTGATAAAAAGAACTGAGTGAAAGAAAGAGCAAGCAAGAAATGTGCATATCCCAGTAAATGCTTGTGAGCATTCCCTGAAGCTCTGCTATGTGGAGCAGTAGGGTATTGTAAAAGTTAAATGCAATCAAGAACTCTGTGTCTGTTTTCCAAATCCTTTCCACTGTAGGTTTGATCTCTCTTGCACATTAACTGTTGTCACGATCATTTTGGTTTACAATATCCAACCAATGGGTAATTCATTTCTTTAAAGACTTCAGAGCCTTGTATTGATTCCAGCAGTTAACGGGTTTTGAGTTTGTTTCTTAGCTCTTTTTCAAATGCCTTTGTCATACAAAATTGCTGAGAATGGGAGTAGGATAGAGAAGTAGGCCAACTACTCGTGAATGCTTGCTATTTTTGATATCATGGCTGGATGGGAAAGTTGGGGTTTTTTTTTGGGGGGGTGGGGTGGTGATTATCAAAATAGGAAAAAAAAAACTGTGATTCAGACTAAAACTTTTTGTTGACTGATTTTTCTCCCTCTTAAATGAAATATAGCTAAATTTCAAGATGAAAAAGTAAAATGAAGAGTTGAAAAAGAGCATCTTTAATTTTCAAATAACACCTTTTCACTACAGAGAGTCAAATATAATGTAACTTGTTTTGTCAGTGAAGAGAGAGGAGTCTTGTCTTTCAAACACTCTATTTGCCAAAAAAAAAAGCCTTCCCAGGTTTGCAGAATTGTTTGTTGCTGTCTTTCATACAAAATTTAAGACTGAATCTGAAAAGGGATCAGCCAAGTTTGAGCTGACATTTTACAGAACAAATGGAAGTACTTTATTTACATTACCTGAAATGCACCAGCAATGTGTTCCTAGCCCGAGGCGTTTTGAGAGATGTGTTGTTGTGTTAGCGGCACTGTGACTTGAATGGGTACTTGCAGTGGGGGAGCAGCCAATGTGTGTGATGTTGGCAATGGGTGAGCCATACTAATCTCATTACCAGGAAGAATTTTTTCCTATTGAGAAAGATAGTCTTTTTCCATTTTCCTAGTTTTAACTGAATCTGTTGAGACTTAAAGCACAGTTTGAGGAGAGAGAAACATGTGCAAACGAATTTACACTGCTAGGAGAATTTTTGTTTAGATAATTGAATGAAATTTCAAATAAAGGCCTAAATTATGTAAATTTATATTACAGAAAAAAAAAAGGAGACTAACAAAATTGATTGCCTCCCATGCTTTAAAAGCAGCTCAGACTTGGAATTTGGCTGTAAGCTGCTAACTGTATGTAGTAACCTCTCAGATTACTTAAAGATCTCTGGTGGGTTTAAACAACTGTTTTGTGGGTACACCATTGGTAAGTGCAATATGGTGCAGAGATCCCACATTGACAGAAATTGAAGCTATGAAGTCTAAGCGCATTGAGCTTCCTACCATGATCTTGAAGGAATTTACTTACAAGCCCAGCCCCACAGAAATACAGACATCCTTCTTCCAGATTTCAGCTAGCTCCTATTCAAGCCACACATAGCAGCAATGAACAGCCTGTGCTTTAACTCCACTTTGTGGTTTAGCAGGTCTGCAAAGGACTCATCAATGCAGATGATGTCTCGTCTCATTCTGAATATCCCAATTACTCAAAAACTGTCTTATGGAAGCCCCCAGGATCAATCACCTGCTGTAACCTATTACGACTTTGTATCAAAGTTTTAGCATTAATTTTGTTGCTGAGAACAGCTATGGGTAAAGGCTTTTTAACTGTAGCTTGAAGTTTTGTTTTATCTTCGTTGGTTTCTGTCTGTCTGCAGACTAACAGAGGGTCCTTCTACCAATCTAGGCATATGATATAACTAAGACTACCGTTTAACAGATGGACAACATCAAGCCGTAAGATTGTGATTTGCCCAAAGTTGTGCAGGCACTTGGTGGTAGAGTGAAATGTGATGAAACCTAGTTCGGTTTATTTATCTTTATTAGTTCCTGTTATTAAAGAGTGGCTAATCACTCTTTATGACTTATTGTCAATGAATCCTGCTTCTGAGGACTAACCATGTATTTTTTGAGTTGCAGTAATTTTGATATCCTACCTGTCCAGAGTCTCTTTGATGTTCTGTTGTTAGTATATCGCTAAGCCAGACACAGAAATGTGTATTCTTAAGAAACATAGACAGAAAATATAATTGACTGTAAAAAGGTAGTGATGTTTAACAGTTTAATTTTCAATGTGATGGATAGTTCTTTTTTTCTGCTGTCTATGGGGTACAAGGCTATGTATTATTTGCAGGGCTTTTTTCTCTTCCTTTATGACTGTTGAGACTTTATTTTGTGTTTTTGTTTACTATCGCATCATTATTTTCAGATTTATTTTGAAAATAGCACTTCAAGAGGTGTGGCTAAAATAACAGCATTGCAAGCTGGCTGAATTTGTGAAAATCACAAATTGGAAGTAGTTTTGGAATTTAATTAAATGCTTATCTTTTCTTGACTTTCTTTTCATTGGATCTAAAAATAGTCAAAAAAGGAGCACAAGAAGGAGAGACTTTATACTTATGTCTTTGCACCGCAGGCCAAGTTTCAAGGTAGTTTATGTATCTTGCTTTCTTAAATGAAAGCTCTGACTGCTGCAATAATATTATTTGTACAAATAAAGAAAGAAACACCATTAGGACGTGCACTCTTAGTAGCTATGAGGAATCATAGAAGTTAGGGACAAAATGTCAGCTTGAGCCTTCATTTAGAATTTCCTGGCTTCAGTCAGTTTATGTCTCTAGGGTGAGCTTGTATTTAATAGAGTACATGCAGTATTTAAGATCAGCTACAAGATTCAAGAAATTTTAAAGAGCAATGTTTAACCAATTATGTATTGTAATTTAATATCCTTAGGTAATGTGTGTGAATTGAAAGGGAGAATTCTGTACACAACCTGATGTCTATATTCATTTAAAAAAGGCAATGTAGCTGACAGCCGGCAATAACTGGCATAGGGCTTCAGTGATGATGCACATTATTACCTCAGATTAATAAGGACTCACTAGAGCTCATTTGCTTTTATATATTTCTATTCTTTTTTGTCTTTTGACATCATTTACAGCTGAAAGCTGCAGTGTAGGAATCAATTTCAATGTAATTTAAGGGCCTTAGCTGTTAGTCAGGGCCTCCATACGGCATAATATGAGGTTATCACAGTCGTCTGTACAAACTGCAAATGTGTGGGAAGTTTGTCAGCCATTCATTACTTCTGTCCAAGTCGTGCATGAAGATCTCTTAGGCATTGTCCATTTTCTGGCATCTGAACTGTCATGACTCCTATCTGTGGACATCTGGTGAAACTTTATTGTCATTCAGTTGAAAACAATCATCACCTGGGCAGTACGCTTGGGTAGTATCAACAAACAGAAGACTCCAAAAAGTCCTGTAAACGAAGAGCTTGTTAATAGTAGTTGTAGTAGGAAATAATCATAGTTCCCTTTTTTGCAGTGCTTTTCTGTAGACAGACTCCAAAGATTTTTTAAAGAAAGGCAACTTTTGAAATAGCCTTTTAATGGATAAGCGACATGGAAATGGTTTCATTTTTTTGTGTATCAATGTGATTATTGTAGAAATTTTTACCTACTATGTTTATATCTATTATGGCTATATACTTGAATTTAAATATTCAGTTCTATTGTCTAAACAAATAGCACTACTAGTCCACAGATAGACTTGTCTCTCTCAAGAGAGAGAAAAAAATTGGACCTAAGTACTTTTCTGCTAATATTTGGATTTTATTTGTAAATTTTGAAAATTTAGCATCCATTAAGAGAAACCTTGTAAAATGTTATTTTACATCAGTGACCAACCAGTTTCAGATTCACTCGTCCTTTAAGTAAACAGCACAATAATTGATTTCTATAGGAACTTACTTCTCTTATAACCACATGATAATATAATGGGTTTTATGTTATGAAAGTGTGCTCCAAAACCATATGAAGCAACGAACATGGCAAATACCTATAAAAATCGTTTAGTATTTTGGGACAGATTCTCATCCTTAGTGTCACCATGAATATATAGACAATGTATACGTTACTTATGTTTGCTTATGGACTGCAGGGTTTTTAGAAATATGCCTATTCTGAATGCTTATCACATTATTTGCCAAGAAAGTCACACGCACAGCTGAGAAAATACTGAATTGGGCATTTTCCCAAATTAAAAATTTGTCTTGAAAAGTGCCCTTAGAAAAATTGTATGCAATCACCACAGAAATGCATTTAAGAGAGTAAAAACTACCACAGGAGAAAAAAAGCCCTAATTTGGAATTACAACACATTGTAAATAATTTTCTATATGTATTTCTATAATTCTCATGTATATACCTATTCACTGGAACTGTGTAAATAAAATGCACAATTTTTTAGTTTAAACCATTTTAGTTTAGATACTAAGTCCAACTTTTCTAATTTTAGCATATTTCCGTAAGACATTTGATTCCGTTGACGATATTATGAAGAGTTCTCAGGACGCCTTTTACATAGAATATTTTTGCAAGAAAGAAGAAAAGATTCTTTTAAGGAAGCAAAGGACCTCAT